TGTAGCATTACCTTTCAAGTTCTGTAATTTACAATTTAGAAAAGGGATCTAGCAAAGGAGATGCATGAAAATGATCTTCAGCACAGGTACAGGTCAGACTGAGCAACTTCTGCAGACTCCACTTTCTGCTCTGATTGTCTTGCAGGATATTATGATTTTATGTTGCTCAGAGGGGGCTAATGCAGTAATAAAAAGAAGCATGCACTTGGATTGTAAATTAGAATTTACAGAAGGATTGCCAAAAATATAATTGACTTGAAGGCCAGAAGAATGAAACCCTTCAGAGAACTGCCCTTTTTCATGTGTATGAAACTCCCATCCGATAGGGATGCCCACATACAGACGTATATTCTGTGATACATTAGAAGGATGGTAGTAAGCTAAGGTTAGGTGGGACAGCCCCATGTACTCAGTGTGTCAGGGATGCTGTTTTCTTGAGTCCTTATCCTTAAATACCATTTTAAAAAAATAAGATTATTTGTCTAAGAAGAGTTTCAAGGGTAAGATTAGTGCATTATGAACAGAGCTGCTGTGAATTATTTGGGAGTGCAGGTTGTTAGGGCCATGGCTCTGAGACCTACCTCACAGCACAAGAAAGCTGTTTCCTTTTTGGCCTCCTTCCTTGCTGATTTTAGCAGTACATTCTTAGGTCTTACCGATACTGGAGTATTTGAATTAGAATTAGCTAGAATTAGCTATTTCTAGAATGGATTCCCCTGTGAAGGAGTGTCTAATGTGAAATGTATGTGTGTTTTTTTCCTTTCGTTCTTTCTACTTCTTTCCATTGCAGAACTATTACTATTTTTCAGAAGTAGGCAGTATTCTCAAGTAGAACTTATTACTGCCCTGTTGAGTGGCTGTTCCAGCGCGGCCACAATAGCTACTCTATTTCTTTGTGGAGTCAAGAACTTAAATCTGTGTATTAATTACTTCACACACCTGTATTCAAGAAGATGGTGCATGCACAAGCTGTTCAGTGCTCAAACCTGCAGAAAGCTGTAAGATAATAACTTTGTGTAAAGTCTTTAGCGGTTGTAGGTATGAAAACCAAAGAAGACTGCTGAACATGCGTGTGAAGTTTTTTACCCCCTTATAATTTGGACAAGTATATCCCTGCATCCCTGCCAAATTTCAGCTCTGATGCTTTAGCTCAAAACAGAGTGAATGCTTCCAGATTTTGTTTGCGCAGCCAAATTATTTGTTTTCCTTGTATTCAAACCCACCTGAAGGTGTTTCTTTTTTATTTTTTTTTCCCTCTTCCCCGCTCCCTTTAGTTTCAGCCAGTACGAGGAAAAACCTCCAGCTCAGTCTCCAACTAAAGTTTGGCAAAGCTGTTGCAACTGAAGATAGCTTCTTTATGGTAGCTTCTTAAGCTTCCTTATAAAAGGAAACTCAATTCCACTACCTGTTAAAACATTAATAATATGCTAAGTTGTGAGGAGAAGCAGCTCATGAGTTGACTGTTTGGGGCCCTGGACCCCAGTTCTGTTGGAGTTAATTCTGCAGATATTTTTGATTGATGTCGATGGAACCTGTCCCCTTAGTAAGCTCCCAGATGGGCGCTGCAGTGCCTTACCCTCCCAGTCATTGCAGGGTTGGCAGTGTGATTCTTATGACTTGAGAAGTTAATTATGCAAAGTAAAAATTATGCAAAAATACCTGGGTTTCAGAGTTTTCTCTCTGTTTTGGCATTTTCATGTCTTTGGAATGGCAAATGTGGCAGGTGCTGTTAATGCAGAGATGCTACTTGTTCTTCCCCATCTTCTCACTCTCTCTGAAGCTTTACTTGAACTTTGGAAATTTGAAAGTGGTTTTAACATTGACACTATTTCCTCTCTACAGCTCTTTGCAGCAGAGAGCTTGTATTTCCATTGGAAAAAAAAAAAAGTTTCAAGAAAACAGTTTGATGTTCACTCTTTTTCCCTCCTTCCCCTTTAGCCCTCTAAGCTGTCCCTGAGTGGTATGACCAGTAAAAGTAGAAAGAAAACCACTGTTCATTAGGAGACACTGATTTCTGGCATGTTAGTTCAGGATTTCCAACTCTGGCTGAAAAGTTTACAGCAGTTTGCCCAGAGATTGCTTTGTATCCCATCTGTGTCGCTGCTGCTTGTTCCCCGTGTGCCCAGTAGCCGGCTGGCCAGCTGCCTTGCTCAGCTGGCTTTGGAGAATCAGGGTCTGGGCAGGCTTGGTCAGAACCCTTCCCAGGAGGTAGAATTTGGCAGTAAAACTCACACGCATCCCTGGGTCCATGTCACCAAGCTCCTGTCTGGGAGACACCTCAGCCCTGCAAACCTGGACAAGCCAGACTTGATGCACTCGCAACTGTCGTAGTGAAAGAAAGAGAGTTGTGGTGGTCATGGCTTGCTGGTCAGCTTTCTGGTCTGTAGCAGGTTGGCCCAGCTGTAAAGCTGAAAAAAAGAATCGGCCTTAATTTTACTGGTGTCAGTGCAGGCAGAAGATAAAGACTCTTGAAAGCTGTACAGTTTTTAAGTTTTGACTTTTTACAGTAGCTGTCTTTCCCTTAATTTGTACACAATTATTCAAACATAGAAGACCTCTGTACCATTCCAGCAGCATCTACTCTCAAGCCTGTATTTGGCAGATTAATAAGATAATCACATACTTAAACTTCATCATCAATATATGTTAACTTCCAGGTTTGTAACTGGAGGCTTTGAAGCACTTGCAGCATCTTATCGAAGTGAGATCTTGCTTCAGTTGCTGCTCCTTTCCACAGCACTGTTTTATTGCAGCACTGTTGTGCCTTGCAGGCTGCACCGTTGTTACAATGGCAGTCGTTGTTCAGTGGGTTATTTCAGCTGAGCTTGTCCTTTTTTTTTTAGTTTTTTGAGTGGTACGAACTCAGATTTTCTTTACAGAAAATTGCTTGGCAGTCCTCATGCTCATAAGTCGCAGAATCAAGACCATAATTTACACAGTTAACTTCATTAACCATAAAATACAGGATTTAAGGTTCCCAGGATATCAGATCTTCTGCACAGAGTATCATTTACATTTATTTTATATGTAACAGCAGAGAGACGGCTCCAATCTTTATCAAAACCAGTAGGAGATAAAGACAAAAGGCTTCTGTCATCCAGACCTGGATTTTTTCTTAAGCCTCAGGTGTGCCCTCGGGTTCTCCAACACGATTACTCCATGTATAGCTCTTGTGGTTTGTGACAGATGTGATGCCCAGTAGCGTTTAGGAAAGAAATTTGTGGGAAAAAATATAGCCATGAAAATATGGCTAGTCACACTCTCAGATCTTGACTTTTGGTGAGTGCAGCTGTACAGTCTTAATTTTAGCACTTAGACTTGATTCTGTTGAAGGTAAAGAGCCAGCTCCGTTAGCTTAAACTTGGAAACGCGCAGATGTTCTCGCACGTCCGACACATGCAGTGGGGCTCTTTTATAATTTATGTGTTTTCTGTCAGGATTGGTCCATTGCCTTAGAAAGGTTAACCCAGCTTTTAACTGAAAATTTATCTTAGCTGAAGTTGAAGGATTTAGAGACAATTTAGGAGCTATAGCTCAAATAGGAAAAAGGGCCTCGAGGTATTTCTGAGCTCTGAATTTCTCCCTCCCACTCAGCTGGTTTGCCAGCCAGAGTGTTTGATTTCCCAGGCTTTGGCCCTAGTACATTTTAGTATATAAATCTCAAAAGCCTTTTAATTAAATGTGTGACTAAGTAATCACTTGGTTTTAAAGTACACCATTTAGGGGTGAGCAGATTTCTGTTTAAACTGGGGGAAGCCCAGCTTCTTCTTAGATTTCTAGAAAATTGCTTTGATAACACGATGTTGCATATAGTTTTATATGTTTTTGCAGAGCATATCCTTCGTTCTTACACTTTTAAATAATTGTAGCCTCCTAGAAACTGTATTTTTACTTTAAGAACTGGTAGGAAAGCATATTTTAATAGCTGTTTGAATTTTAAGAGTTGAGTCGATCAAGTCTATTTCTGTTATTAAAGATCTGCTCCAACGTACCGTAAGGTTTGAGGGTGCTATCGTGCATGGAAGAAATTTTGGGTTTATTGAATAAAAATACCAGAAAGTATTTTCCTTGAATTTTGTGCACTGGTCTTCAGACAGAAGCCAAGGATTAATTTATTGCACCAATCTTTTTTTATGTTCTCCGTGTAATCAGAAATCATTTTTGATCTCTCCCCTCATTCTTCTTAATTTTAACTTAAAAACATAGAAGTCTGTTGCTGGAATGTGTGCTGTTGAACTAAAGCGTTACATCTGGCATTAGAAAGCATCTTTTGATGAAGAAACAGGCATTGGAGGGATTATTTGTTTTATTATTAAATGCTTTTATGTTTTTTGAACTCTGAAGAGTTTTTCCTGAGTTTCCTCACAAATAGGCAACTTATCTAAATTGCGTGGTTCGGAAATACTCACATTTTTACACTGAAACATCCAAAAAATGTGCTGCTGTGACAGGTCAGAATCTGTTTCTGACAGGAGCAGTAGCTCATGTTGTCCAGGACTGCACCTTTGCATTGCTGGGATCACTGTGTACTATACCCGCAGTAGGCTTGAGCATTAAATCTAAAATTTTACACTCAAGGACATCTATTGTGTGCATTTTTATGAAAAACAGGGCAAGCTGCGCTTTCCTGGCAGCCCTATGTTGAATCTGGGGTATCCAGAGCTGCTTGTTCGTCTCTGATTTGCTTTGTCTTGTATTTCTGGTTCTCACAGTATCACCTCCACAGGAAAAATTCGTCAATCTTGAGGGGCCAGGTGGGCACAAGCCCAGCACTGAACTGTGCTTTATGGCACGCAGTAGTTAATATAGCTACTCTTGTTTGCCCCCCAAACTTCGTTTTAAACAAAAAAAGAAAAAAAAACCTCTTAAGCACTCAATCACCCAAAGAGGACTAAATTTAGTTTCTGAAAGATATATATATCCATACACACACATATATAAAAGCCTGTGGCTTGATTAGAGTTTCAGATTATACATCTTTTCTTTTCCTCTCTCCCCAGGGCCGATTACTGGAAGTCTCAGCCAAAAAAATTCTGTGATTACTGCAAGTGCTGGATAGCGGACAACAGGCCTGTACGATGGTGTACTGTACTATGTCAATGATTTTGAAATTCTAGGAATTTGAATTACAGGCTTGTAACATCACTTCTGATTCTGATCTATGCATGCATGAAATTTGGGTTTTAAAAATGCCTTTGTAATACTTGTGATATTTAAAATACATTATGTGAGAGCCAGATACTTACACACACGATGGTGGTGCTGTTCTGCGTGGCAGTACAGATAAGAACTAAAATATCTGACCCCGCTTTTTCTTCAAGTTCTGTAACTTAACATTTGATCTCCCTTGAAATGTTGTCCTTGCCTATTCCTAGCTTTCATATGCAAGTAGAAACCAAAACCTGACGTGTACATACTGTTTATGTACAGTAGGCCTGGTACAGCCATCACTCTCAGCATTTGAAGCAGGTTTCTTTCATTTCACACAGCCCACAGAAATGTTACTGGGTTACAGAAAGGTGTTTCTGCCCCAAAGATGCCTTTCATAGACTACTAGACCCATTGGTTTCTCACTTAGAAATAATTGTTGCATTCCTGACTCGATGCCAGGGGTGCTCCTGGAGCTGAGCTTCATCTGGTTTACAGTTCGATACCTGCAGTCCGGAATGACAAACGTGAGCTAATTGGTTCACTTCTCTTCTTGCAGTCAGTGAAGAGAAAAACATATTAAAGGTGGGGATTTGGGTAACTTACAAACTCTGTCTTGAAATGAGATGGCTCATCCCCCGGTTGTGCATCCTCTGCATGTCAGTTTGTGCAAAGAAACGTTAGGATTACTAGGTCAGGCTTAGGCACTTGACATCTGGACGTCTAAATGAGCTCAGATGTTTTTTGTGAGACCTTCAGGAGAACTTCTACTCTTGTACCTTGTAGAGCTTCTGAGTTCTTTCCAGTTCTCACTGGCTTCAGCCTTTCCAGCAGCTTTTTGGCTTGCAGTGTGTTCTGGTGACCTCAGTTCCCCAACTCTCCTACTTTGCGCTTCTCTCTCTCTTTCTTTTTCTGATTTGTGGACCTGGAGACTAGTTTAAATCAATGGGATATTTGTGGAGCATAATCTAATTAAGCGCCACAGCTAATATTTAGAATGCTAAATAAGCTGTATAGAACAAGATTTTTAAAAGCTTGCATGAAAACAGAGGGTAAAAAAAATCAGGCGATGATGTTTGGAAGGATAGCATGGAAAAGGAGCCCAGACTCCCTGTTATTTGTCTCTGATCTGTGTGCTGAATGGTATTATTTGAAAAATTTCGAATCTTAGAAAGACAGAATTTTATTATACATTTTGGAGTGTTACTGATTTTTCATAATTTCTATGTTGAGTGTTTCTCAAGTGTTCCTGAATTTCGATAGCCATTATATAGCTGTTGTGTTTACTGTGTTTTCAGACCAGATTATGTTTAGGCTTGTTCAACTAAGTTTAGTCTAGTTAAATTCTAACTAAGTAAAATTAAGTAAATTGTAATTGTATAATACATATTATTTTTCTTGGTTTCTTCTCACTTTGAAGAGCATTGAGTTTCATGAAAGAGGAAAGAATCATAAGGAAAATGTCGCAAAAAGAATTAGTGAGGTAACTCAAATATCTTATTTGCATGAATGCTTAATTTTAATCTTGTTCATTGTCAGACTCTTAATTTATTCGCTTGGGGTTTTTTGTTTTGTTTTAGATTAAAAAGAAAAGCTTGGAAAAAGCACAAGAAGAAGAAAACATGTCAAAAGAATTTGCAGCAATGGAGGAAGCTGCAATGAAAGCCTATCAAGAGGATTTGAAAAGGCTTGGAATTAAGCCAGGTAGTTCATATAGCTGCCAAAAGATTAAAGACAGAATTGAACGAATATTGAGTAGGAAAGTTTTTTTTTTTTCTTAAATTAGGTTTTAAGGACATGAGAGGAGGCCTTCAGGACTGTGTTTACTCATTTAAAAAAAAAAAAAAAAGAGTCTGCAAATTGCCAGTAGTAGTTGTGGTACAGAATGTTTTTAGCTATGGTATCCTCTGGTCCATGGAATAATCCAATTTGGAGTAGAAAAATTAAACAATGCGATAACAAACAGTAGACTGTAGTTGGTGTTTTGAATCAGTGGTGCAGCTTCCCTTAGTTAATTTTACATTTCACTTTTGCCAGTTGGAGACAAAAGTTCCTGTTGAGTAGGAGAGATTGGGTTCCCACTGGTGTCAAAAAGCTTAGATGGGAATCTACTCAGCTTGCAGTTCAGCAAGTACTTTTGTTCTGTCCATGTGAAGACATACTGTCCTTTAAAAAAAGTTAGTAGTTTAAAAGTCCCGTAGAAGCTATCTTCTTTCTTAACTCCTTTAGTTTCTTTTTGTTGCTGATTAGTTAGAGCTCATTGGCCATTACAGTTTTTCTCTTTATGTTATTTGGGCTTCCTTATGACAATATAGTTTTGCTACAATGCAGGATTCTTTGAATATAATCTTTTAAGTTTACTTGCTATGGGTGTAATACTAATGAGTGAAAATACTCATAAGAAGAAAATTTCCTGTTGTTGCTCCAGGATGACCAATATTTAAGCTCACGTTATTACTCTTTTTGTAAAAGAAAGTGTTACTTTCTTTAAGACGATGTAGGTCAAAGTTCGACACAGAGTAAAACACAGAGTAACACAGTGGAAACGAAAGAGAAGAAGGAAAAGAAAGAGAAGAAGGAAAAGAAAGAGAAGAAAAAAAAGACAACTCAGGACACCTCAATGCCAGCAAAAACTGAAGCAAAGGAGTGGGTGCAAGGATTGTCTCCCGAAGGCTATACCTATTACTACAACACCAGAACAGGAGGTAAAAACTAGTGAGGGGCAAATGCAGATACAGTTATTGGATGTAAATGGGAAAAGACTACCTGCATTTCTTTACTTTTCTGCTCTGTTAGTAGTAAGCTGATTGTTAAAATGTGAACAATTAGGTGGAGTTTTGATATTTGACATTTGAGAGGTATCCAGAACTTCAGACCGGTTTTGCCATTTGTCGGTAATGGAAGAATGCAGTAATTCTGGAAAATGTTGAGCATTTCAGTAGCTAAGTATACAAGAGATCAGTGTGTTCTTCCTAAAGAAACTTCCTGATCAGGAATGTGAAATAAATTCACTGTGCCCAAGTAAATGAAAGCAGTTATGGGTTGCTGACTTTATTGTTTCTTTCCATGTTTACACGATTTATCTATCTGGCTTCTGCTGAGAAGCTATGTGCTATGATCTATTTTAGAGCAGAAAAGCAATCCTCTTTTATGAATCATGAGAATATTACAAGTTGTTTTGTATAAATTTAATGATTGACATTAATGTTTACTCTAGTCTTTCTTCGTACAAAATAACTTCCAAAAGGCAAAAATCTTGTGTTTAATTTCTTCTGGGCTATGCTATCACTTTAAAAAAAACATACATTTTTTGTATCAAAATTCCAGTATCTGTGTACCAGCCATATTTTAATAGAGTCTGGAAGGTTGTTAGTCCCAGTAAAGCCAACCGTAATTATAATATTTTTGTTAATTGTTTATACAATAGGTTTGATTTATATTCCAATTAGGTGAATCTGTATTACTGGTTTGTATCTGTGCTTACATCAGTGTCATACCCTTTAGATATGTTTTTTCCTAAAGATTATTAAAGGTAAACAGGATTGAACAATGGGTAAAATATATTTTTGTTTTTCAAGAATCACAGTGGGAGAAACCTAAAGGATTCCAAGGCAACTCTCAAAACTCAAAAACGGTAACCACGTACTATTTTTCATACTTTTCTTTGTCCTTTTAAACACTTATCAAAAATAAGCAGTTTGCAAGTCTGCTGAAAGCAGAAGATAAGTTGTTTGCACTTAAACCCAAGGGGAAATGGGTTTAAGTTGAAGGAGAATAAATTTAGATTAGATCTTAGGAAGAAATTCTTCAATACAAGGCTGGCAAGACTTTGGAATAAATTGCCCAGAGATGTTGTGGCTGCCCCTCCCTGGAGGTGTTCAAGGCCAAGTTGGATGGAGCCTTGAGTAGCCTGATCTAGTTGAGAGGTGTCCCTGCCCATGACAGGGAGGTTGGACTAGATGATCTCTAAGGTATCGTCCTTGGCGCACGTTTGCGCTGCCAGTGAACCAGTTCACAGCGTGAAGACATCAGAGTTTAGGTTAGTGCCCTGTAGGCTTGTTTCCTTGTCGTCAGCTCTCTGGGTAATCGGAGAAATGCTGATGCGGGGAGAGGAGGAGCTCCCTTCTTGGCAACGATTTGAAGTTAGCTCATCTTGGGTGTATCATAAACACACACCTTCAGCCTCTGATATCTGTCGAATGCCACATGGCTGTATTTTTGCCATTCCTCCCTCCCCCTGCTCAGTGACTTTGTGGCGTCTTGAGTTATTTTTGTTATTGCTAAAAACAAGCATTTGATTGCTCCCTTATTTAGTCTGAGCTAAAGATATTAAGAACATTCCAGATCTCTTAACAGGGACTCACTGCCCAGAAATTAGAGGATGTGCTTGCAATATGTAGTGCAAGTGAGATTCATGGACTCACCTTGTTTAACATCACGTTAGCTTGCTGCTCAGGCTTTGAAAGAGGTGGAGAGAGCAGAGTAGCATCTTGAGACCACCTGTGACTTGAGTTAGGTTGGCATCGTGCTTGTTAGCATTTATGCAGTGTGCCTGGTGTCAGGTATCTGCTGAAAACATCTGAGAACCAGATATAAAATGCTCAGGATCTAGCTCTTAACAAAAGGTGTGGGTTGTATTTAAAACTAGGTTTTTGTCCTTTTCTACTTCCGTTAAATAAATTTTCCTTTTCTTCTTTTGCTGAAACTAGCACACTGAAAACTCTTGAGAGCAAATAGCTGAGGAAACTTGCTCGCTGAAGGCTTTCTTGCCTTTGCCTGCTCTGAACCTACTGCTCCAAATTTTTTTGCTGCTTACAGAGCGGGTGTGAGAATTTTAACTTCTGATTTTCTTGTGCTTTTTAAAACGATGAAGTTTTACAGAGCATTAAGCAGATACGTGTCTGTGCAAAAGCCTATCTACGTGTGTATGTGTCTGTATATACACACACAGACATTTATTAATGCAAAAATAATATTTAGTGAAGCTATATAGATGTTCTGCCTAATTCAGGGGAGTGAGCAGTACTAGTATTTAAGCAGCAGTAAAGTAGTTGGACATATAAGTGTTCATGAAAATCAGGTTCTAAGGAAGATGTTAAGTCATGGGTAATGACCATCTTGTTGTGGCTGACTTTGCAAAGCATCTTTATTTTAATTACATATCCACAAAGACAAACCAGCAACTTCTGCCACATTTCATTTATTAATCAATAGGGAAAAACAGTGCTCTCTTGAAACTGTTGATTCTTTACTAAAGAAGTACATTCATTGGCATGCATTCTTGGAAGGTTGGATTCTTCAGTTGTTTTGGGGAAAGATCTGGTTTGGAATAAATTTTAGGTTTATTTGTTTGTTTATGTTTAATTTGTCATAGTATTTATTGGCATTGGTTTTCTGTAGCCCTCACAAAACCCCAAGTCTTCCAGAGAAATTTTTTCTCCAACTTTACTAAAGACAGTAACACAAACAGGAAATTAGAACCTCAGAGGTAGATACTTCATAAAAGAAAAAGCACCATGTAACATAATGGACTGTAGAATGATTTGAACTGTATGGCAAAATGTACTATACTGCATCATGCCAATTATCCACAGTTTGAAAAAAATGGTGTGTGTGCATTTGCAGTATTTTAAGTTAAGCAATTCAATCGCATTTGAGTCAAAGGGAATACTTGCTAATAGCTTTAAGGGTTCAAGCTTTAAAACAGTAAAAGTATGAGCAAAAAGTACTCAAGGGTTGAATAGTAAGTAAGACTTTGGCTGATCCATAAAACATTTTTAATTACCTCCTCTATCTTTTTCTTAGGCAGCAGAGTGGGTAGAAGGTGTCAGCGAAGAGGGTCATACCTATTACTATAACACACGAACAGGAGGTAAGGAGAGCTTGTTTTCTGGTTAAGCTGTTTAAAATGTTTTTTCAGAGAAACATTTTGTATTGCAAATAACTGCATTTTCAGGACATTACTAAATTCTGTATTATTTAAGCTGCTACCTTAGTTGAACTGTTCTTGTTGCTTGACAGTACAGCTTTGTAGTGTGTACAGCTTTTGTCAGTGTGTATACATTTGTGCTTCATAGCTTTTTTTAGACATTCTGTTAATAACTTTAACGTATGGGTCCTTCTTTTATACATACATATTGAAATTATAGTTTGGAAGCCAGAAGGGGGCAGGATTTTGTGTTGACAGGTGTGTAGGACTGAGTAAGAATCTCCTGAACTTTGCCCCGTGCTTACATGGCATTGATAAGAGAGTCCAGAATCCTACCTCCTACTTATTTTTCCCTTCTTTTCACCCACAATGGGGAACTTTCTTCTAACTCCCTCAGAACAGGCATCTGTTTTCTAAATCTGTTTGAATCATTTTAAGGTCAGTAATGCCTTTCTGGAGAGCAACTGATTTTATGCTGGCTATGACTTTTCCCTCTGCTGTTGAGTATGAAGTGGCATTTTTAATGATGCCGAGAACAGGAAAAAAGCCCCAAAATTTTCATTTTTTAACATGCTACTCCCCTGCCTGAATGATTTGTGATTTCTCTTTTTGAAAGGGAAAGGAGATGCTGGTCATTTTTTGACATTGACTTCTAAGTCCAGATATATTTTATGCCTTTCGTTGTTTCGTTTTTATAAAGTTCTTCATCGACAAATAACACTCCCTAATTCTAAATGTTATATTTGGTAAAATTTTGACTTGTGAGATGCTAAAGTGATCTCTTACTTTTATATAGCCATAAGTGTCTTGGAAATGCTTAAAAATTCCTTATTGACACTAATCCCACCCTCTGAAAGCAAGACAAATTTTTAGCCGGCGGCAATAGTTGTAGTGTCTCATCTCAGACATGTAACTGAGGAGACCGGTATCTCTCCACTTAGTGCTGTGAGTCAGGCTTGGGAAGGCTGCACCGCGCTGTGCTGGCTGCGTGTGGCACCCAGGAAAGGGAATTTTTCACAATTGCTAGATGTAAAGCTAGGTGACAGCAGTACTTGTAGGAGACTGTTCTGTTCATGCAAGTCACTCGTTGGCAGTTTCGTACACCTTCTTCAGGATGCATCTAGGCACGTGCCTGTTAATCATAGAATCATAGAATTGTTGGGATTGGAAGAGACGCTAAAGGTCATCTAGTTCCAACCCCCCTGCCATGGGCAGGGACATCCCCCACTAGATCAGGTTGCCCAGAGACCCATCCAGCCTGGCCTTAAAAACTTCCAGGGATGGGGCTGCCACCCCCTCTCTGGGCAACCTGTGCCAGTGTCTCTCCACCCTCATGGGGAAGAACTTCTTCCTAACATCCAGTCTAAACCAATCCATCTCTAGCTTTAATCCATTCCCTCTGGTCCTGTCAGTACTCAACATCCTAAAAAGCCCCTCACCAGCTTTCTTGTAGCCCCCCTGAGATACTGGAAGGCCACAATAAGGTCTCCTCGGAGCCTTCTTTTCTGCAGACTGAACAGCCCCAACTCTCTCAGTCTGTCTTCACAGGAGAGGTGCTCCAGCCCTCTGATCATCCTCGTGGCCCTTCTCTGGACACGCTCCAGCACGTCCATCTCTTTCTTGTGCTGTGGGCTCCAGAACTGGACGCAGCACTCCAGGTGGGGTCTCACGAGAGTGCAGTAGAGGGGGAGAATCACCTCCTACCTTAAGTATGGGACTTCTTTAGAAGTAGATAAAATAATTGGAAAAATGGAGTTTTGTTACATTTGAAATCTTACATAAAATCACAGGTTAAAAGTTGGTGTGCCTTATCTTTACTAAAACCAGTTTTAAGACCATGGACCCAACTTTTATTTGTTTCCTCAGTGTGTTTGCTGGAATGCTACCTTGTAATTGAAAGGGTGATCATATCCTGAACATGCTTCCCTATCTTTTCAGCGTGGTGTTTCTATTTCCCTGTTTGCTTGACAGCTCTTTCATTAGAGCTCTAATGCTGCCACATCGAGTAGCACAGGGCTTTACCTGCCTGGAGAGCCGAGGCTCACAGCTCTCGTCCTTTCCCTTTTCCTGTCTTTGTAATTAGTGGTCAGCTAAATCAAACAGGCACCTCTAGAGGGCAGTTTGTCTCTCCTGTGTAAGGATGAGAGGGACGACAGCCTTGTGGACCGCAGTTTTCTTAGGCGCTAATTAAAACAAGTTTTATCAACCGCGAACTCAGCTGTCATGACTGTACCCCTGCTGGGAAGTGAAATGTTACCCTTCTGATTCAGTTTATTAAAACAAACATGCTGAGCAAAGGCAAAAGCCTTGTGCCAAATTATTTGCTGTGTTTTGGTGTCAGGAGGCACTGGTTTTGAAAAACAGTATTGTCAAAGCAGTAACAGATCAGAATTAGAAACATAAATAATGTGGCTGTTCAAATATCTTGGACAGTATCTACGTGGGAGAAACCGGCTGGTTTCATTTCATCTTCAAATGAGAAGAGTCCACGTGACAAGTGTGCGGAAACAGATTCTGAATCAGACTCAGAAGACAGTGAAAATGGAGGACAGAGTTCAGAAAGAAATTTCAAGGTAAGTTTTCAGATTTATTTTACATACAGTATTAATTTTCTAGCATAAGATGATTTGTCCTTTATCTCTTGTGATAGGCTGTACTCACTGTAATGAGGTTAAACTCTGTGGCTGAAGGTAGATGTTTGCACTTGTTTAAATAGTCAAATGAATCTCTATTCAGTTATTTGCTCCATCGGTAGGATTGTTCCAGTACAGAAAGCATGATCTTGCTTTCTGCCCACCAGAAGTCTCATGAATTCTATGAGAAATGCGATGTTCTCTGAGAATGGTAACTGTCATCTCTCTGAAACAATCCTCAAAATGGTTTGGATTTCAGTGTGAGGATGACTTCAAACCTTCAGCGGTAAATGTGGCTGCCGAGAGAACTTTAGGGAGCGGTTTTGACTGAAAATGACATGGTTGTAGTTTGAGAAGAATGTTGGCAGCACATAGTACAAAATCTGTGTCAATTATATATGTATTTTTGTCTTCAGATTTAAAACTTAAGATAAAGGGTGTGATTATGGCCGTTGTTGGGTCAGATGGTTCTTCTGAAACTATTAGTTCAGAACAGTCAGAGACAGTTTAAATATAAAATACGTTCATAGACAGGTGTTAATTCTAAAATTATATTTTTGTGTCATTGTGCGTCATTATAAACTATTACCATGTATTAGCTGAAGTCTGTGTCTCTACATGCACAGAAAGCCGTATGTGAATTTTGCCTTTTTTTTTTTTTTTAAGACATGCTAAGCTTGATTTTTAAGTACTTCTGCAGTGGCTACACCTTTCTAACTTCAGCCTTGACAGATGGGGTTTTCCAGCTTTAAATTTTTGTAGCACTTAAAGGTTTTTTTCAACTCTGTACGTGATGAAATCTCAAGGAGGAAAAAAAAAGATTTTATTACAAGTGGGTTTATTGTTTCAAGTTACTCTTGGTTAAAAAGTATGAATAGTAGATAATAGTAAATAAAAGATGTAAAATAAAGCTACATTGTGTTTTTATTTAGGCATTTTTGCTTAAGGTGGGTTTTTTCCTCTTTAGAGGAAAGGAGATAATGGTGAAGAATCAGAGGAAGGGAAAAAATCTCCCAGAGCTAAAAAGTTAAGTCCTTATGGGAAGTGGCGAGAAGTTAAGCCAGCAGAAACTGTTGATAAAGAGGAGAGTACATCAGCTTCCCAAGAAGCATCTAACAAGACCAACACTCAGGGAAAATGGAGAGCAATTCAGGAAGTAAAAGAAGAGGAAAAAGAAGAAGCAAAAGAAGAAGAAAAAGAAGAAGAGCCATGGTGAGGATTTCTTTACTCTGGTTATTTTCATAATACTTGTTTCCAGAATATTTGTTTTCATGAGCTGGAGCTTTTTCTTCTGAATTCTGGCAGCGTTAGCAGAGCAGTCATTGGAAATGTAGCCCAAATACACTTCTTTCCACAGTGATTAATAGTTTCCCATAGTGGATAGCAGTGGTGTTTTGGTTTTAGTGTAGAAGTTTACCATGAGTACACAGTAAAGTGATTTAAAGGATCATTGTTATCATTTTCCTCAGAGGCTGAGTATCAGCTATTTAAATGTAGTTACTCTAAGCTTACGTTCCTTAACAATGTCTCCTTCAACAGTCTGGTTCAGCTGCCTCAGGAGCTCTTGTGACTGTTTTTTTGACTGCTTCCAGCCTTGGAACAGCACAGGCAGCTTTCTGAGGGCGTCCAACTTCCAGGCTAAATTCTGTTTCTTCCTTACAGTTAGTTGGGCTAACTCTGCCTGGAGTTCAAGATCAATCTTGATCTTCTAGGACCACCAGCAGCCTTACCTTGATGGTACTGGGTTAGCACTGCTTTGAATTCCTTCCCTGTGGGATCGATGATTACTGACATAAAGTCTGGTTTTTTAGATTCTGAGTTATTTCTGCCTAAGCCTGATACGTTTGGCTGAATTACTTCTACAAGCAGCAAATAATACAACATGACAAAGTGAGAAATTAACTGTTCACTTGAAGGACACAGCCTAAAAGATACCTTTTTTGTGTGTCTTACTTTCACCTGGTATTGCTGTAAAATATTTCTGATTCAGCTGTTCTTGTTCCCTGATTTCCCTTATTTTGAAACAAAGTTAAGCAGAAACAAAACAAAATTCTCTACAACCTTTTCTGCTGTCACTGTGGGTAAGTTGTGGAGGCTCTTAGTGTGGTGGGAGACGCTTTCTTTAGTGATTTAACTAAGGCTGTTAAAGACAAAACGTGTAATGTAGTTATGCCAGTGTTTAATCTGGAAGTTGTCTCCCATCTCCCATGTCCAGCTGATGTATTGCAGATGTTTTCATGACATGCAGCTCATCAGGAGGTTTGGTTTGATTTGATTTATTGCATAATGCCTGACATGGCTCATTTTTGTTCTGGTGAAGCATACTGGCTTTTAGGGCTGTTTTTTTGTGAGGTCCTCTAGAGGTCTGGAGAAATTAGGTTTTAGAAAATGAAAACAGTCTTTTCCCTCATACTCAAAGAATTCTCCAGCATTTTGGTTCTAAACTATTCAGCAGGTACGAGTTTTGTCACTGTTCAAACTAAGTGAAGCACAGATGCGCTCCTCTGGAGATGATAATGTGTATGTGACACCTCCTGTATTGGACCAGCTCGCTGCTCCTGGACTCTAGAGCTGATTAATTCCTTCAGATTTTTGGAAGGCACTATCTGAAAAAAAGTGCTTTCATCTACTGAACCTCCTATATCACTCAGTACATTAAAATACAGGCTTAAGGTACACACACACATGTGAGACAAAAGCAATTGCTCATTATTTACTTTAAATTGAGGCTAGGAACAGGGCCAACCACTTCAAGGACGTTTACGTTTTTGGGAGGCTGCAACAATCACATTTTCTTGACTGTTGACTTGCAGTCATTCTCATGGCTCTTGTCTGGGTGTTTGAGCTGATCCATGTCTTCCTTGAAGTGTAGGACCTGAAACTAGGTGTGTTCCACGAGCTGATGTCAGACTGACGCTTGGCAGTACTGAAAGATTTCTTGTATGGATCGGCCAGGAAATACTCTTGGCAGCAGGGTTATGCTGGTGTGATTCCTGATGGACTTGTGGTTTAGATCATTTTCTGTGAAGTGTTTCATTATTCTCCACGCAGTGTTTGTGCCACAGGTTATTACTGTACAACACAGTGTTGTTGTGTTGACCTCTTCCAACCGATTGGTTATTTTCAGCTGATGTCTGTGATTTGTTCGGATCAGTATTAACTGAAGCTGCTTCTCCCAACTTGGGGTTCCTGGCTGAGTTGGTAAACCTGTGCTCTGTTCTGTCAGGCAGACCCTCAAGATTGGACACTTCACAGAATCACAGGTTGGAAGGGACTTTTGGAGAGCATCTAGTCCAGCCCCCCTGCCAGAGCAGGATCCCCTAGGGCAGGTCACCCAGGAACGCGTCCAGGCGGGTTTTGAAAGTCTCTGGAGAAGGAGACTCCAGAACCTCCCTGGGCAGCCTGTGCCAGTGCTCTGTCACCCTCACAGTGAAGAAGTATTTCCTTACATTTAGGTTGAACCTCCTGTTTTCCAGTTTGTGATCATTGCCCCTTGTCCTGTCACTGGACACCACTGAGAAGAGTCTGGCACCGTCTTCCCGACACCCACCCTTTAGTGATTCTGTGATGAGATTTCCCCTCAGCCTCCTCTTCTTCAAGCTGAAGCTACTCCATAGTGTTTCGGCAGTTGCCAGCTAGTGACTAACTACCCTTTTTTGGTGTTCTTAAATTTAGGCATCCTCAGCCCTGTTGTCCTTTGCAGGACTGGTTACCTGATGAGTGCTAGGGCCATGCTACAAGCTCGGTACAGAATGAGGCCTTAATTTTTTTACTTTTTTGTGGCAGCCCACACGGAAGAAACAATGAACTTTTTTTTGGTGGTGTTTTTTTGGGTTTTTTTTGTCCTGATCCCTGTTACGATGATGATCTTGGCTAGAAGACTGCATCTAGTTTAAAGCTGCTTTGCTAATCACACGTGGGGGTTATTGTCTGCAGTACACCCTGTTGTTTTCTCTGTGTAGATTAACCCTTTTGTGTTTTCCTCTCTTCTCCCAGTGACACAGTGGACCTGGAGCTTCCTAGTACAGAGAGTGACAATCTAGCACCTCCGGTGCTGGAGATTCCAGAAGATGAACCAGTGATTTTTAAGGAGAAGACAGTCACCTCCCTTGGAGACCTGACAGAAGGGGTGCCGACATTTAAAAAGAGGAAATTTGAAAATGGAAAATCTAGAAATTTAAGGCAAAGACTAAGTGATCAGTAATACTTAACAAATCATTTCAGATTCTGTTTGAGCTAGAGTGAATCAAAAAGTTTAATATTTTAAACAGGCTTTTATAAAGAAAAAGTTGGATAGAAATTAAGGATTTATAGGTATTAAAACAGATGTGAGTTGCAATATTTTTTTATTTTATTTTGATGTGATTGGTTTTGGAATGGAAGTTTGTGTTATATTACTTATGCAATATTGTAAATACTTTTTTTTTTTTATTTTAACCATACTATTTTAAGTTCAAATTGCTCTGTGTTGGCTCTTTTAAGTACATTGCATAAGGTTTTTTACTCCTTTTCTAAGTGTGGAAGAATGTAGTAATCCTTAATCAGGCAAAAATGGTCCAGACCTTTCATTTGTACAGAGGACCTGGCTCAACAGCATGTACCAGAGAGTAAAATCATCCCCCCCAAGATTGTTTATGTGTAGTTGTTGCCCAACTAATGAGTAAAAATATTGTGCTTACTAACCTTTGGCTAATCACTTGCAAAATAGTAGCTGGTGAGACTGCCAAGATTTCAAACAGATCATTTGAAAGCTGTTTTTAGAGGAGTTAGTCACATCAGTGCAAGTCATTCCAAATGGTGTTCTGAAAAATTTATTTATGTGCATGCACGATAAATGTACTAAACCTCTGCAGAGGATCTAAACCTGATGAATCTTAACTTGTAATAACAGCACCAGAGCCACCCCTGTTGGAGTGGGTATTTTGGTGGTGTCTTCTTGTTCTACTTTGCTTTTTTGCTGCCTCTACTTGGATTTTTCCTTCTTTTAACAGATCAAGTTTTCTTTTTATTTTGCTCTTGCTTTCTTTTTTTGTATCTTTCCCTGTTAAAAACAATTGCTTGATATTTTCATCTAATTTTTTTCCAAATATCTAGCCCTTTTTTGTCTGAGTTTTGTCTGTTGATCAGAGGAGCGTTGTTGCACAGCTGCAGTGTTCACCAAGCTGAGAGGGACCAAGTGTGTTGAAGCTCCATCATTCTCAGTACCACAGGAGAGGAAAATGAAGGACAGATAAGTAGACGCTGTAGCTGCCCTGTCTGGGACATTTTTTTAAGAATTGTAGATTCAGTTTCTTCACTTGTTGGGACTGGCCTGCATTTAGCATCATCAAGATTCGTTGGCTGTGTAAGGATACAGGTACACTCGCTGCTTCTCTCGATATCAAAGATTGGACCACAAAGGTTCAAATCATGAATCCATTAAAAAATATGTTTGTGTTCCTTTAGCTCACAGTGTTTTGTGCAGGACAGTCTCGGTGAAAAAGAGAGGGTGCAGTTAAGACAGTTGTCAGAGTCCAGCTACCGGAAAATAGAGTCGGTAACTGCTGTGCTTGAACTTTGTTGAGAAGACAACTATTAATCTGTCAGATCTGTGGAGAAAGGAGTGCAGGACAGAGAATCCAATTTATGATGTATTGCCAAGGAAGCTGCAGTCCTCTTTTCTGTTCTGGGACATTTCCTCTGCATGTAGAAGTGAATTGCATGTTGTGTTTAATCCCATGAGTTTCTTTGGCTTCATTGGGGTTGTGTTTGTTTTGAGAAACTCCCAAGTTTCCTGTAATACCAAGCCCCAGATTGTCATGTAGAGAAGCAGGATTTCTGCTGGATGCTCTCGCGGTTGTAGACGCAGGAATGTACACGTGTGCTGCACATGAAAGACCTCATGTGCAAGGCTAGAACAGAAATGTCCTTTCTGCTGAGGAGAGGTTGTCAGGTTTCTTCAAAAACAGATCTTTCAAGTTTTGTTCCTACTCTTACTTGAACTCTACCCCAGCAGCATTAATTCAAAGCCTCCGTGTATTTGTGACCAGTTAACACTGATTTCCTCCAAATTTACACCAAGTTATGCCCTTCAGCTAAGTAGTTTTTCTTCTTCTTGAATCCATTGTGTCTTTTTAATTCGGAATCATAAAACGTCGTCGTATGATGGGACCTTCAGTGCTCCACTAGCACTTCTCTTCATCCGTTCCCGCCTAAGTTTGCCTAAACTCTGCTTTCAAGGAAGATTAAGGCCACGTGTGATGTCACTAATACTTCCTTGGCCCATTGGAAGTAACTCTTGATACCTCCCTAAACCACATTGGCCTTTCATGTGACTGCATCGTGCTGTCTGCTGTGAGTGCCCTGTGATTTACCAGCACAACCAGCTCTTTCTGCTCCGTCACCGTTGCCAGCTGCTGAGTTAATAGCTGGTCACGCTTCCCTTTCAAGCACACTGTATTTTTTTTCTTCACAGATTTGTTTTGTTCTGCCGTACTCATCCTGCTTCTCTTAGTCCAAGCCTAAGCTACACGTTTCTTTATGGTCTCTGCAAAATGATTTTATTGTTTATTAGGACAGTTTTATAGAGTAGTATAGTTGTTTTGTAGGCTCCACTTTTAACATCCTCTGAGGAGAACATCTTTCCTCTTTCAGTGAGGCTCCCAGAATATTAGCATCTTTCCTTAAAAATGTTTTGTCACATTGAAGTGGTCACAGGCAGTGATTTAAGATACCTGTAACTAAATTGCTCGAGCGAATGTTTAAAAACATCTGAAAACAAAAGTGTTTGAAACTGGTTCCCCTGAGGAGCTGCTGCTAGTTGTAGTATGAACCAAAAGTACTGTGTTAAACAGAGAAATCAAAACATTAGGAAAAAAAAATTTTTTTCTTTGTTCACTGCCAGTACAGTTGGTTTAAATAACATGGTCTTGCTATTGCTGGTCTGAGTTCTAAAGCCTGCATTTCGCAAGGAAATACAGTGGTTCACTCCCCACCACCTTCTGAAACTCAGGTTATTCTTTGTCTTTAAATGTAAATTATAAGAAGGGCCATTTGAATCAAATTCAATATATCCAAAGCCACCGTTTCATTTTGCACCATGCTGTCACTCGATTTCCTTATTGTGTATCTAAACCAAATTTTTCTCTTCTACACAAAAAATACAGTCTTGTGCAGAATGTAAGGCAGACACTGCTTTTCCAGGACATCTGTTCGGCACAGACCTCTCCGCCTTCTGTGCAATCTCCCTGCAACATCTTCTGCTTTTGGAATTTGCTGTCAGAATCCTCTAGGTATCGCTCATCTGCCAACCCTTCCTCGGGCTGCGCTGGCTTTTAACAAAGGAACGTTCCTTTTACTGTTTGAGAAGAACAGCGTTTTCAGAAGAAGCCTGTTTTCTTTTCTGACTAATCCATCTTCTGTCACGCAGCGGCGTTTTTATCTGCTCGCCTGCTTTCGTGTGAGCTCCCGGAGCGGGGGCTGCGTCCTTCTTTTATCGGCTGTCCAGGCACGATTAGCCATATGAGGAGGAGAGTCAGAGAGAAAGGGGGAGCCACTGCGATTTCTGAGGATGGTTTTGAGAAAGTTAGTTCACCCCTCCGTATTTTTCTTTTCTTTCCTTCATCTTTCACCTGTCTAGTCTGTTTTAGAAAGGTAGCTTCACAGAACAGGACACTTGCCGTTGGGGTGTGTGTTTTTAAAGTAGGCCCTGCCTGGAGTCAGTGATGCTTTTAGAAGCAAACATGTTGCATATCCTAAAAGACAAAATTACTCTGTTGGGCGTTTGTTACGCCAGGAGCTGTACAGAGACCCACTGCTCAGTTTGACCCAGGTTGTAGGATAATCCGTGTTCCTATTTAGGCTAAACCAAATTTTAAACATTTACCTGGGAATTTGTAGATTGAAATCCAAACTTTACCAATAGGGTGAAGTTTGCTTTTTGTTTGACTCTAGTAGACAAAATCTGTGCTGCAGCATCATCCAGTCCCAATATTGTGATTTAGAAGGCGGGAGGGCTGGTCACGACACAGATGTGAGTTAAATTCACTAACCTGTGCATGCATAAAACATTTCTCAGCCACCCCCACCCACCCTCAGAAAATGTAATTTCAGCGCAAATTTTGGCATCTCAGAAAGGGAGTAAAGAACTATTTCACGCTGCTTGGTTTCTTTGATATGCTTTTGGATATGCTTCCCCTTTTTAGTACTTTTCGTATTATTGCCGTCTTCCTTCAGCCGTCTTCCTCCAGCATTCCTATATATGCAAATTTATCACCGCTGTGCCGCGTTCCCAGCATCCACCTTCACCTTAGCGCCCGCTCTGCCGAGATCCTCGAAAACCTTCGCGTCGTCTTACGTAGGCCACCGGCTCTCCAGATCCTGGCTTAGGCCGAGCCCTTCTGCTGCCTGAAGGAAGTACGACCTCCAGCCCATTTCAGACGACACACCAGCTATTTCAAGACTGATTACATGTGCTCTTTTTTATTTCCTTATAATTCATTTTCCTCACACGGATTTCGTTCCCATTCCTCCTACGGCGTTTGCAGCCCTTAAATCCTTCCGCTTTTTGATCTAAAAGCTGCCCGTGTTCCTCCTGCTATCTGCGGCGGCGACCCTCTGGTTCTGTTTTGTCAGCTGTATCTCTTGTATCTACCTCTTAAGTCCTCTGACCTTCTACCTGCTAAATTATTTAACTTAAAAATCGTGTTAGCCGTTTGTGTGATTAACAAATAACAGCTTTGTGAAGTGTTTCAGGATAGGGCTTAAGTTTGTGTACAAAGCAAAAAAAAAAAAAAAAAAAGCATTTGCAAATAATAGTCTGAAAAAAGCTGTATTTGCCCAAGAGGATTCCTGAAGTGTGTCAGCAAATGCCGGTGTGATTTTTACATTTAAAAGTAGAAATAGCCTATATTAAAAACCAGCAGACAGCATTATATAGACCACAGGCTGAAGGCAGTGGGTTTTGATGTTTAATGGCTTGCTTAACTGAAGATACAGCAGAGAGCAGTGGGGTGATTGAAAAGCAATTGTTTTAGTTTGTAAGTATTGTCGGCGAAGTTAAACAACTGCTTTCTCTTTAGCAGTTTCAATTACAAAACATTGCAAGCTCTTGAAGTGGAATTTATATGGAAATAGCGAATAAAGCTTTCATTTGAACAACCCGTTACCGTTGTTCATCTGTTCAGAGGTTTCGCGACAACCCGAGATTTGTGGGTACGTATTCTGTTAAAATTGGGGCCTGGGGTAAATATAAACCAAACTAGGTACACAAATGTGGAAATGCTTCTTAAAAGAAAACTTGTATTTTGTGGTCAGCGATGTAGTGTGTCTGGGTGCCTTCCAGAAGCGCATTAAGCAGTTATTTGAAATTGTTTTATTCTGTGCATCACTTATGAGTAACATGACCTGGGCTAAAATTTCAAATTTTAAAATTTTTAAAATAATTCAGGCGAGGCTTGCTGTAGTTACTATTTAGTAACATTCAGAGTCTAGCTGAATATATAAACTTTCTGGCGATAACAGGTTGTCATGCAGTAGTCTTTGTATTTGCTGGCCTTAAGAGTGATGAGCAAACTCCCTGAGAGCACAAGACACGTGCTTTTAAAAGATGAGGAATGCATGTAAATTATTTCATAACATTTACTGCAAAAGATCTTTTTGCCAGCATGGCCTTTTGGCACCTTTTTTTACAGAAAGTGAAAAAACTGGCTGTACTAAGCAGCGAAAGAGAAAAAAAAAAAAAGGTACATTAGAGGCCAGCAGTTCTGCCAGACTGTGAAATACATTTTGCTGCTAGGAGCACTTGGTTATTCCTTCCTGTTAGCTAAATGAGAACAAGCAGCATGCTACTTGAAGTGAATAAATTTATTTGTCGTTCCAGGATTTTGAGACATTCTCTTGTACATTCTGTTGATAACTAAATGAAAGTAATCAAGGCCGGGTGCCAGGGCTGCTCTTTTTTTCTTGGAGGGTAAGCATTCATCTTCCCGCTGTCAGAAAAAGGGCTCCTTCCAGGTGCAGCTTTTGTCTGGATTCCCTCTTTGCCGGGTGCAGCAGCAAGGCCTCCGCAGGGAAAGGAGGGAGATCCATGAACAGTGTCTGGTGTCCACCTACAGGAGCTGACGAGAGATGAAGCTGGTGTCTTGCACCAGCTGCGACATCACAAAATCACAGAATGTCAGGGGTTGGAAGGGACCTCTGGAGATCATCTAGTCCAGCCCCCCTGCCAGAGCAGGATCACCTACAGTAGGTCACACAGGAACGCGTCCAGGTGGGTTTTGAATGTCTCCAGAGGAGACTCCACAACCTCCCTGGGCAGCCTGTGCAAGTGCTCTGTCACCTTCACAGTAGAAAATATTTTCCTTATGTTTAGGCTGAACCTCCTGTTTTCCAGGTTGTGCCCATTGCCCCTTGTCCTGTCACTGGGCACCACTGAGAAGTCTGTCCCCATTTTCCTGACACCCACCCTTTAGATATGTTTATAAGGATTGATGAGATCCCCCCTTCAGCCTCTTCTCCAAGCAGAACAGACCCACCTCTCTCAGCCTTTCCTCGTGTGCTAGAGGTGATGATAAGACACTGCACCCACGTGTGAGACCTTTGTTACCACATGTGGCTGAGCGCGAGGGGAGGCCAGGCAGACGGGGGCATGGTGTTCCGCTGGTGGTGCTGCTCCTTGGCAGTGACATAGGAGCTGCCAGACAAGGCTGTTTCTACCAGACGAACCTGGTCTTGCTCTCCTCTCCCACGACCAGTCACGCTGACCCCAGGAGCTGTCATCCGAGGAGCCACTTGCCCTTTCCTTGTCCTCCTGGTGCTTCACCAAAATTTTTCCTGCTAGTCATTTCACTGTTGAGTGGTTTGCTTGTAGGAACTGAAAAGCCCAAGTTCAGGGTATTGTTCCTGGAAATGCCTCAGAGATGGCATTGCGGAAGCCCACGGCCCACCCTTGAGGACTAGTGCGAGCCCACAGCCAAACCTCATCACAATTTCTCAGGTATTGCATCCCACAGAAAGACTGGGGTTGGAGAACTTAGAATAAAACCATAGAATGGTTCGGATTGGAAGGGACCTTAATGATCACCTAGTTCCAACCCTCCTGCCACGGGCAGGGACATCTCCCACTGGACCACATTGCTCAAAGCCCCGTCCAGCCTGGTCTTGAACAGTTTTCAGGGATGAGGCATCCACAACCTCTCCGGGCAACCTATTCAAATAAAATGTATTAAGTTGGCGGAAAACATAGCTTCAAATCATGTTTTCTCAATGAGGAGAAGCAAAGAGATCTGGTTTTAGTACAGTGGAGTGTTGCAGGCAGTGACCTTCTGTGGAAGTTGGTCTGCTCTGTATCAAACTCTGTCATAAATGAGCCCAAATAAAGGCTCCAGAAAATTAATGAACTTAATCATAAATAAGGTCCTGCAGTCAAAACACGACCATCTTTCGTCCAGTAAAATAAATGAGGCCCATTTTTTTGGAAGTGTTTCAGTTGTAAAGAACTTCATAGGCACGAACTAATCCTAGAAGCAGAATCGGATTATTTAAAATGCATACCTTAGAAGAAGTTTCTAAGATTGTTTAAGATATGTGATTAATAAAATGAATTGGTTTGCATCCTGAAAGTGAGCAGGGTAATCGGATAAGCAGCACGTTGGCTGGATTCTCCCAGTACAGCTGATCACATTGGTTATTGCCGGTCTGTCGGCACTGCGGAAGTACAACCTGAGCTGCACATCTTCCTGGAGGCTTTTTTGTCCTAAACTGCTTACTGCAAGAAGTCAAAGTTCACGTGCGCAAATCACTCTTAAACTGCATGCTAGTATGTTTCCTGATTGACTTACAGAGCTATAAATTAAAAAAAAAACCACAAAACAAAACAAGAAAAAAACCCTGCACCACCAAAATACAAAAGCTTTTGTAACTGAAGTGTTTGAAGCAAGTCAAAAACTGCCCAAGTTGCTGATAAGAATATGCATACACACAACAGAGTTGAAAATTAATGGCAGAATTGTGAAACTGAGTATAGTTTTCCTGCTTTCTTCCTGGTTCAAATTCTGTCTGTCTTGATATAGTTGAAAAAAAGTTAAAAGTGTCATTTGAGATACAGATATAGATAAGATATACATTAGATACAGATATGGAGGCAAAAACTAAACCAATCAATGGAGAAAACTAAGCAGCAGTCATGAGGCCAGATTCTAGGCTGTTTGGGGAGCTTAAGTTCTTCCACCTGGAGAAGATCATCAAAATAAAACCCACACCCTATATGGTATTTCTGCTCCATCACTACAATTCTGTAACTTTCTACCCGCAACATGGTCAAGAGAAGGATCAGTTTAACGAAGCCACGCTGCCAAGACAGGAGGTACGCACGCTTGTTCTTTTCTGCCAGGGCTGCTGTAAAAAATTCAACCCATTTGAACCAAATATAAAAAAGAGAAGTATCACATCCTGAAGAACAGAGGCATAGATTTTAATCAACCTATCATCTACCAAACGGATCTTTTTTATTTTGTTACCGATGCAACACTTCTGATTCAACACCACACAAGGTCTTCAGCAGCCTCCTCCTTCTAAAGCCTGCAAATTTTCTAGATATTCGGTGACGGCCTCTATCTCCGCAAACTCCAGCAGCCTGTTGATGAGTTTATCCAGCGCTTCTTTCCCGCTCAGAATTTCCTATGGAAAGAATAAAACCAGACAAAAACATTACAGACTGTCTGTCGGTATCGTTCTGAAATGCCAGCTACTCAAACGAGGAGCTCCTGGAACGCAATTTGCCTGGAGCCTTATCCCAGAGCATCCACTTGCTCATCTTCGTGGCTGCTGTGGGTGAAAGCGACGCAGCATTGGTGGCAGGACCGCAGCTGTGAAAAGCACATCAGTTCTGGCAGCAGTGAAAGGAGCTACTGACGCCTTCCAGCCACGCTTTCGTGTAACTCAGGTGAAACATGAAAACCCCTTGGCGAGAACAACAAAGCGTTGAAGAACCTAATTCCACTGCTGTTGTTCGTGCCAAGAACTGGTTTTGCAAGCAAAGCTCAACTAACTTCTGACGGGCAGTTTGTGGTTCCAGTTTCTCTCACGAAAACTGACGAGTTCCCAACACTATGTAACTGAAAAGCTCAACTAACAAAAGTTATTTTTATGAAGTCATGGAATTTCTTTCTGTTCTCCTCCATCACGGTATTCGTGTACCAACTCCCCACAGCATTAAATATGAAGCACTGCACGTTCAGCATGTCCTGTGTTGCCTGGAGTTACCCAGGACACCTGTGGGTACGGTTCGGAAAGTGTTGCTCCTTCTGCAAGAGCACCTGCAGTCAACTGGATACCCAAACCAAAATACAGAATCACAGAATGCGCTGGGCTGGGAGGGACCTTCAAATATCACCTAGTCCAACCCCCTGCAGTGAGCAGGGACATCTTTCACTAGATCAGGTTGCTCAGAGCCCCATCAAGCCCTACCTTGAATGTTTCCAGGGATGGGGCCTCCACCACCTCTCTGGGCAACCAGAGTTTCACCACCCTCACAGTAAAGAACTTCTTCCTGATATCTAGTCTAAATCTACCTTGCTTGAAAGATCACCCTGAACTTTGTCCTAAAATTCAACAATGTTTTCATAAGTTTAATACACAAAAATGAATTATTAGCTTCTCTGTAAAAAAAAAAAGAAAAATATACAAGCCATGTGAAGAAATTTACTCAGAAATAAGACCTCAGATAATCTTAAAATGAAAGCATTCAGTTTCATTTTCTTTTAACTGTGACCTATGAGGCAAACAAAAGATTTTCTCTTGCTTCACCCCGGCATTAAGGAGAGGAAAGAATGGCTTAACAATAACAAAAAAAAAGTCCCCTGTGTGAAGTTTTTCTTCCAGATGTACAAACGTCCAAGAATCTCAGACATCATATGGGCCGAGGGACTTTCAGAGTTCACTAAGGATGACAGGCGTGATTGTGTCTGCTCATACCTGACGATAGTCAGGAAAGAAAGTTTAAGTTTTCTAAACCTATAATGTCACATCAGAGCGCAACTGGCTATCTGATTCCCTCATATATATTAAAGCTGCTTTTGCTAAGTTAATTTTATGTTCTTGCAGTACACGTAAGTATTGAACTTCAAATTATCCCATAAGCAACCGTTACCTTGATATTGCGCGCATCGTACGAGATCCTGTGGTCAGTGACTCTGTCCTGGGTGAAGTTATAAGTACGAATCCTCTCTGACTGGGCTCTTGTTCCCAACTGTAATGAAGCAGCAAAGAACAAAATCTACTATATTGTGTGGGGGGGGTTTTTTAAAAAAAATCAAATACTACTCTAAACCAGCAGCATACCTAGAATAAACTTTAATGGATCAACCTGTTACAACTACAAACCTACTGGACAGTGGCTTAGCATATGGGCTTTTAAAAATATTGTGGCATTACTAAACTTTATTATTTGTGATTCTGTGTCACAAACCAAGTTTTCGCATCTTCCAGTACACTTCTGTTCCAGCTCTGTGGCTGGAAGAATTACGTAACTCTCGAAAGTTGTGTTGGGCAAGAGAATACATCTATGGGAGTCCTTAGTTCAAAAACTTAAGAGCGTTTTTTTTCACTTGCAGAGGTTGTAGCTCTCACAAAAAAAACCAAACATACAAGGAGGTACCATTAATAACAAAAGCAACAGAGTCAACGTGTGCAAAGTAGTTGCTCTCAAAAATCAACACTGGAAGAGGAGTAACTTAAGAATACAAAATGCGGTCCTCTAGTGGTAAAGTGCAAGAATGCAAGCAATTCTGAAAGTTTTAAAACAGAAATCCCAATATAGATAGCATTGTCTTGTGGTTAAACGCTTTATTAACATGGACAATTAAATACTAAAAATCAGGTAAAGAAATAGGTGTCTGCTTCAATTTATTTATTTATTTTATTTTATTTAATCTGTACCCAGCATGTGTATTTCAAAATAAGGAATTTATTGAACAAATCCTGAAACATCAGGAAGGGTTATTTACTGTTGCCTCATTTTCTGTAGTAAGTTTAAGTGTACACTTAAAGCCTTTATGCAGCTTTGAAGGCTCTCAAGCTAAAACTAATAACAAAAGACAAATGGCTGGGTGCAGATAAAACAACTGGGTTAATAATCTGCAGGTACAATATACTTAAATGCAATCTAAAATTAGTGATAAAATAGCTGGGCCCCTGAATAATTCTAAAATTCTGAAGTATTTTCATTCCTGTTGATCGCTGTTGACATTTGCACCACAGATAGGAAAACACACAAAGAATGGGAAAAGAATGACAGCACATTTCAAGAGAAAAGCCCACTTGGCAGTGTAACTTGAGGGAACTCTTTCAAGGAAGGTGTTTCTTCCTTAAATGTTACATAAATCATATCAAAGAAACTGCTACCCAACTGAGGGTTGCTCATGTGCTCGCTTCTTGCAAAAGCTCTGTATGGTCTTACCAAATACTGTGGCTTAGAAAAAAGTTAAAACACAACTTTGATAATTTCTGATCCTCATTTTCACAGAAAATAACTTTTAACTGCTGTTCTCCTTGCGTAACTCCGGCTTTAATAAAGGGATTCAGTACATGGCATTAAGTGTTGCCTTTTGGCTAATTCCAGCCAGTCGTTCCATTCTTTTCTTTCCTGCTGCAGCTGATGCCTCTTTTTCACTGCCTGAGAAGTCTACAACAGCGTTGAACTTACCATTCCCAAATACAAGATTCTCCTTCACGTGCCCACCCGGTTAGCCGCGCGCACCCGCTTGCACTGTCACCGTCACTCAAAAACAGAATCACAGAATTGTTGAGGCTGGAGAAGAGCTCTGAGATCATTAAGTCCAGCCTATGACCCAACACCATCACATCAGCCAGACCATGGCACTAAGTGCCACATCCAGCCTCTCCTTAAACACCTCCAGGGACGGTGACTCCACCACTTCCCTGGGCAGTGCATCCCAGTGCCTGAGCACCCTCTCCATGAGAAAGTGCTTCCTGAGATCCAACCTAACCCTCCCCTGACACAGTTTCAGGCCGTGTCCTCTCGTCCTGTCACTGGTCGCCCGGGAGAAGAGCCCGACCCCCACCTGACTACACCCTCCCTTCAGGCAGTTGTAGAGAGTGATCATGTCCCCCCTGAGTCTCCTCTTCTCCAGGCTGAACACCCCAGCTCCCTCAGCCTCTCCTCACAGGACTTGCCCTCCAGTCCCTTCCCCAGCCTCGTTGCTCTCCTCTGGACCCGCTCCAGCCCCTCAAGGTCTTTCTTGCAGTGAGGGGCCCAGCCCTGCACACAGGGCTCGAGGTGAGGCCTCACCAGTGCTGAGCACTGTGCTCCTGCTGGCCACACTGTTCCTGACACAAGCCAGGATGCCATTGGCCTTCCGGGCCACCTGGGCACACTGCTGGCCCAAACGGACAACGCACAGCCCACTCCAAATTTCAGCGATTCTACATTCCCACCTGCAGTTTTCGGGCACTCTGCTCTTGACTTAGTTGCTTTTCAACGATCTGTTGGTACAGCTTCGCTCGCAGTGTCCGCAGAGCTACTTCCTTGTTCAGCTGCTGGGATCGCTCCTGCTGGCATTCGACCGTCAGTCCTTCACGGAGAGATTCAAAAGAGCTCAGATCAAAAGCCCGTCGTGATAAAGAACAAACAAGCAAAATGAATTCGAACACGTCGGGCGTATGAAACCTTCTAGGGCGCTGCCTTGTCGAGCTTTGCAGCTGTAGGATGAGAAGTCATTTTAACCAACGCAGGCCAGAACGAGCAGCGTGGTTTTAAACTCTTCGTAGCTGTGCCAGGGGCTTTTGTTCATCACCAGAGAAAAGTTAGGGCTGTTTTAAATTTTCATGAAGCAAACAAGTTTCTGATCCAGCCTCCAGAAAACAGGTTCGCTCCAGTTAGCTATCACATGTTAAAAATATAATCTGCACAGTCTACAGAAGCATGTACGAAACAACACAAGTTTTTAAAGTCTGAGTCTAGATAAGCTCTTGAAGACTGGAAAATTCATTATTCTAGTGGAGAAGGGTGTCTAAACACCCAAGGTGAGTCTGGAACTTAGCTATGAATAATGAAATAAAGTAAAATAAAGGTCTTTAAAAGAAATTTAGTACTTGGTTTTACATCTCACTTGATTTCTGAAATCAAAAAGCACAAAGGAAACAGTTGTTTTGAGGTCACTACTGAAATTTCCTGTGCCTAATGAGATTTCCCATCTGTACAGACAGAAGCCCGCTGAATATCAATGAACACAAATCCTGCGAAAGACACAGTGGTCCAGTCCACACGCTACCTTCCCATCGGTCTCTATTTTCCTTCCTATTCAACGTATGGGAGCATTATCTAGTACTGAACGAAAATCGTCAAGCCTTTTCTTTCTTGGTCGTGTAACTACACAGGCTGCAGGTAAGCAAAGCACAGCCACT